TTTTACTAAAGAACCCTTACCAGAACAATAAAATTGGGGATCTAGGGTTTGAATCTCACAATCTCACCTTCGATTGAACTTTCCTTCTGTTTTGATTTCCTTCTGCTAATTTTAATTCCTTCCTCTGCTCATTTCCATTCCTTCCGAACTTCCTTGATTTCTTTCCCTCTATTTATTTTGCTTATTGAATACAGGTACAATAACTTATTAACTTTGCTATGTAATTGACTGTAAAAAATCAGGAGAATACAACCTGATTTACTGTATATTTTGATTTATTTATTTGTCTTTTGTTTTAAGTGGTAAATTCTTGTTTGCTATGAATGAATGAAAACATGTTATGTAATTGATTGCCAAAAATCAGTAGAATGCAAATTGATTTACTGTACATTTTGCTCTATTTATTTCTCTCTTGTTTTAAGTGCTAAATTCTTGTTCAACATACATAGATTATGAATGGAAACATGGACAGATTTCTCAAAATATTGCATTTTTATATCATGACCAAATGCTAAAATACATGGAGTGCCAGGTTTTGGCAAAGTTTCGATACTATAGAATCATACACATCCTACAAAATCCTCTCCTACCCTTAACCTGCCTAGGAACAAATGACACTGTATTCAGTGAACCTAATCCTTCATTACAAATGCAACTATCATTGCAATCACAAAAGCCAAGAGGCTTTCTCTTAACAAGGAAGAGACAGTATGTGCTAAACTCCCCTACAAATTCTCCTGCAAGGCAGAACATGTCCATCCGCTATTGGTGCCTCTCCATCCGCCGTTGGTGCATGTCTTTTGGATTCAACTACCCGTATTTCACTGGTTGAAGCTGGCCCAGGAACACCCCCAGTTATTTTATCCAAAAAGGAACGAGGATCCTTGACAGTAAAAGACAAAACTGCACAAGACTGGACATCTTTCTCATTTTCAGGTACAGAGAAGCTCTTTACTTCATAATCATTATCACCCTTTGCAACTGAACATTTTTGCAATTGCCAAGAATCCTCTAAATAGCTGCAGCAGAAATAAGTTTGACTAATATTATTATCCCAGCTAAAAATGGTTGATTTCTTCCTCTAAATAACTTACCTATTAGCAGGATGAAATGTTTTCTTAAGCAGCTGAAATGCCTTTGGTCCAATTAACTCCAATTTTGCAAGTTGACCTTCACGTGAAAAACAATTAATCACAATCCTCCTCTCATTCATCTACATGATAATTAAACATGGAAATGAGAACATAAAATATAAACAGCATCCAATAAAGAGAATAAGAGATTAGTGATCCACTGATTCAAAGAGAACCAAGCATACGTTCAGCCTAACAAAACAAGGGACAGCACTGATTCAAACAGAACAAAAAATGGAACAGATATGCATACCTTTTTTTTTCTTCAAAAAGCAATTTGGAACAGCCCAATTTTCGTAGTTCCCTTTTTCCTTTCTCCACACTCGCTCTAACGAACTTCTTCGACTTGCTCCTTCAGTAAGAGTTCAGATTATCCATGTCCAAATCCGAATCAAAATCAAGATTCGACGCCAAATTGCACTGCGTTTCCAAATCAATCGCGTTCACTTGAGAGATGATCTCCTTGTCCTGGTAAACAATCTTTTCTATCGAGAGTTCCGCAGCATCTTCTGAAGATGGCAGTTGGCGATTTTCAGTGTTTCTGAGGACTTCCTCGTAGAGTTCATCCTTGGCATTGTTGGCTTCGAGATTCTCTACGGACAATCTGTCAGACTTGGCGAGGAGAGTAGCAGTGATGACATTGCAGAGGAGGAAGACGAACAGATGACTAGCGATGATGTCGCCAAGTTTGGCAGAAAACTCACCGTAGATCCTGACGAAGATGACATGCCCAAATCACCCTAAACGTTAATCAAAATGGAGGGAAAGAAATCAAGCAAGTTCGAAAGGAATTAAAATTAGTTGAAGGAAATCAAAACAGAAGGAAAGTTCAATCGAAGGTGAGATTGTGAGATTCAAATCCCCAATTTTATTGTTCTGGTAAAGGTTCTTTAGTAAAAGCATTGGAGTGCCATCTTGGTAAACCCAGGTGGAGCAAAAATGGTCCACATCAGTGCCCACTCAACTCCCAATCAGTGCCAACTCATCAGGCTTTGACGGGCAATGGACGGGTCTAATGGTGGAATGACGTCATTCTCACTAAAAGGGTTGTTTTGCGGACAACATGAAGTAGAGGGGCTGATTTGCTAGTGTTTCTAGTACAGGGGCTGATCCGCCACAACATTGCAGGTAGAGGGGCTGAATTGCACCTTCTGCCGCGTGCAGGTGCAGTGACACGGAAGCCGATGACAAACGGCGTCAGGAAGTCAGTTAGCGGAAGGGCTGATTTGCACCCATCGTGGGGTTGGAGGGCTTATTTGCCACTGTTTTAGTTCAGGGGGTTATCACTTGCTGTCGAAAAAGTTGAGGGTCTTAAGATGGGTTTTTGCCTTAATTCTTTCTTATTCCATTGCCTATTTAAAAAAAAAAATTCTTATTTTTTTATTCATATTCGTACGATTTTCAAAAAAGATAAGGGTGTGTGGTCTGACTCGATTTTTTTTACAGTATTTTTTATAAAAAAAATAATTATATTAATAATTAAAATTAATTGATTAAATCAATGATTTAATTAATTCAATAATTATTTTTTTCACTGAAATTAAAAAATTTTGAATTTGAATTGCATGACATGTGAATAAGGTGGAATAAGAGATTGAAAATAATTGCTTCTCATTATATAAATAAAATAAAAACCAATAATTGATTAAAAATGTAATAAATATATATTTTTATATAAATAAGTTATTTATTTGAATAAAAAGTATTTAATTTTTTTTAAATAAGATTTTGAATTTAAATTTTATATACAGAGTAACAAATATTGTGAGAG